AAAAAGAATCATAATAGTGATCTTTAATTTATTTCTTACATTATTATACGTTTTGTTTCACTTAAATATATACATCTGTTCTTATCTAATATATTACAACGCCATTTTTTACAAGATCGAGCATCTACTGTTTGACACAATCACAGCTTTGTTTATCATTCTGAGTCTTCGCTCAGCATTACATGTAATTTGTAGATCAATATAATTTTATTTTTTAAGCTTTAATCTTAGTTTTATAGTATAAGCTCAATATTATTCATTTACGTAATCTGACGTAAAAATAGGACCATTCAAAGCAAATTTTCAATCTAGAGCGAAAAAATGAGTCAAAAATGGGAAAAATGGGTCATTTTTTCACTCTAAATTGAAAATTTGCCCTGGATGGTCCTATTTTTATGTCAAATTCGTATTCAGCAATTCAAAATACATAAGAATAATTGGATCTCCACCTCAGCACAGAGTACTTTTTTGTGGGCTTGTATTATTGTTATTAGCCGTTAATTACTAATGATATAATGATTTCAATAATTGCGCACAAATTATTCATCAAATTATGATTGCAAAACGGATATTTTCATCGATGCTGAAAAGTCAAAATAATTCGCGATGAAAACTTAAAATGCTCGGGATGGCGTGTCTTAATGTATAAAAATGATTACGAGTACATGCGACCGTGAATTTTTCGCTCGACTTAAAATTGACTTCGACCGCGATAATGCTTTCTAGGTCTCGCGTATTTTACTGGGTCATCATGTATACAAAAGGAAGACACACACTTTCCTGTGATACATGCTGCAGTCGTTGGCTAGTTCAAGCTAAGTGGTAAGTTTTGAAATATGGCCGACCAACTGTCCGTGTATAGTCTGTGGGAAGAATACATCGTGCAACGTGTGCGTATGCAGATGCTACTCGATGAATTCAAATAACCAATCGAAAGACCGAAAAGTATAAATTCAAACATATTTCGAGATAATTGGCATTTTTCAATGCATTGTTCAAGTGTCGGTGGAAAACGATATGAAAACACAATTCGATTTATTGTTATCGTTTCATGTTTGTTTTGCAATAAAGTATTTTTTTCATCTATTTCATTCATCAATTATAAAACATTTTTATTTAACAATTAATTTTAAGAACGGATATATATTTTAGAATTTTGTTCGCATAAATATCGAAATACATAAATATCGTACTTATTGTGGAGAAATTATATTCTACAATACATGTAATATTTATATATAAACATTATTTTATGTATAACTTTTAAACAAATTATTTTTTAACAATTTTGTTTTATATACTGTTTAAGATATATAGAATAAACGTATGCAACGTGAAATTAATTGACTGCGTTGTTAAAAAAAAACTTTTTTTCGTAAAAAAATATTCTTTTTTGTGCAATAAAAAATAAAAAGCCCCTTAAGGGAGAGAGTGTACTTGAAAATAGACAAAATATCAATTTATTATTTTTTAGATTGCTTTTTGCGTGTTTCAAATTGTATAAAATGGTTTTTGTATATACCTTGTGGTTATAAAGCACTTCCACTCGTACGGAATTGGAGAGAGAATATAATCGCTGGATTAATAACACAAGTCTACAAAAAAATTGTTTTTATATTGAAAACGAAATTGATATTTCAAGTAGATAATATATTTTAATGTTAAAAATAAATTTGATCTCTAAATTTATGTATCACGTCAGGATTTCAAGAACAATTAAGTTATATAACGTTCGTAAAAAAACATATATAGGGTATTCTAAATAGAAAGTAAATAAAGAAAAGAAGAAAATAAGTAAAAATATCTCAAAAACAAAACAATTTCATAAAATATGCTGGACTAATCTATATGTATTTTAAATAAATTTGTCTCAAAAATATGATTGCGCGCCGATTACTTTCCACACAATCCATCCGCAATATTAATAATACCTTTAAAAATTTAATTTAATCCTACTGGTATCATAAACCTTGTAAAGAACTTATTATGAAAAATATTAACTTGTCCGAAATTTAAACTCGGATCTCCTGTGCGGTCATCCTCTTCGCAATAACCAATATGTATAGACAGTTGACAGGCAGAATGCATACAATATTAAAATATTAGAAACAAGATTGTTTGAATAAATTAACTAAGTACGATCAAAGTTATATGATAACTTTTATTTAAAATACATTTGGCTGTATTAATCCAATATTTAATTGGCACTTCTCGTATTTAATTGATTATACAAACTGTCCTGTTTTTAATTTTAATATTCATAAAATATCTTTTAAATAAAACTTATATGGTTTAAAGAAGTGATGACAAAGTCGTGATAAAATCAATTTTCGAAAAAAACTTAATATTTCAAGGTCATATGAAAATCTTTGCCAGAAATAAAATGATATTATGATTTCTATTATGTAATATAATTCTTCTGATTAGTCTACACATAAAAGCACATATAGCTAAAACTTCCAATAATTTTTATATACAATATTTTATATTTCATGTCAAAATATGCTAGAAGACAATATTAATTTATTGATAATTCTGCTTTTAATACTTTTATACGCAAGATAACTAAAGAAATCATATAATTTCGTTTAAAAATAGCTATAATTTTCATGTAATCTTAAAAAAATCAATCCTTTCAAAATTTGATGTATAATATGACCCTACAATTAACTTATGATATGAAAATTATACTTAAGATGGTTTTTAAGATGGCTTTACAAGAACCAACCATGAATATTGGTCATAAATTCTTATATGTATTTTATAAAGAACGAAAAAAATACTGTCGTGATACTTTTGATATTAATAACATATAATAAGCAGAAATTAAAGTGATTCAGGATGTTTCGCGCGCCCATTAAATTTTACTAGCGCAGCCTTTTTTTTACAAAAATATCGAAGAATATCTTCACCATCAAATGCTGAACAGCAACATAAACATACAAATATTACGAATTAAAATTAAAAACAACAAGAGCCAATTCTTCGAATGATTTCCTGGAATTTATTAAAGTAGAAATTACAAAACTTTGCTTATAAAAATTTAATTACGTATGTTGTTAAGAATGTTACAAATTACTATTTTTAAAAAACATAAATTTGGATATCCGTTTTAAAGTATTCAAAAATGTACACGAAGAACTTAATTCCAATGCAACATAAAAAAAAATTTTATGTAAATTTGTATTGCCTATGCAGCGAGCTTATTTAAACATATATAAATCAAAATATATAAATAAAAAAATATATAAAATTTTAAAAGCTAAAAGTCAGTAAGGAAAAGATACAGAAAGAAGACAAAAAAAATATCTTTAATTACATAAGTTCGACAGCAATACGAATATATGTACAAAAAAAATAACTCTGATCGACTTAGACAAGTATGAAAAATCACTTATTACAACATGTCTAAATGCCTGAAAGAAATTAAACTCGTAATTTAGCTGAATAGTTGGATGATCAACAAATAACAAAAAAAATTCTTTTGAACTTTTATGTAATTTGTCACGTAGTTGTGCAACTTATATTTGTAGCTCCTTACCTAAATTTGAAATAAATAAAGAAAAAGAGTATTAATTAATGCAAGGAATATGAGGTTATGATGCTGTTATGAAAATCTTTGAAGCAATCGTCTATAAAATTATTTTTTTTATTTTTAGGTTTTTTTCCTAGAGAAAAA